TTAAATTTCTTCATTGGATTTCAAATCTTATACCTATGTTGAAGGCAGAGTTAAAATTAATTGGGAAAATTGTATATATTCTAATAGCCTTGCGTACTACTGCGTAGTATAGGCAAAATAAAACATATTCTCATATAAAATAGATACGTTTTAGTTCCTTTTTGCTGCAAGCGTGAGCATATTATTAATTTTATTTGTTTTGGTGTTTATCTGGAGATGTAAGAAGAAATCTAATGTGTTTGTTATTTCTTATCACTTCTAATAATGCTCAAATTGTCAAAGTTTATAAATGGCCACAGGTAGGCGACCCCTGTCTGTGTATGAGGTAATAAGATATTTGAAGATTAATGTGTTTGGAAATTATCATTTTTATTCTTTACGTATAATATTACTCAATGTGTGTGGTTGAAATAAAACTCATATGACAATATAAACAGGAGAGATATGATTGTTTGTTTGAATCGAATAGGCTCCAAAAGTACTGGGAAAGTCCAAAAATACGTAAGTGACATAAACCATATTTTACTCGGTGAAGTCACGGGAAAACAGCTACTCTTAAATAACTTCCAAACTATTTCTTTTAAAAATCCCTCAGAAAAAGCTCAAAAAAGCAGTCACAACGTGCCGAGTGGCTATATGTAGCGTACGCGACTCGGGGCAGAGCGGTCTATATTTGATATGCACAATTGCAAATATAATTAATTATAGACTTTAATTTCCTCCAGAAGTGATGTGGCACATCCTATGGGTATTTATGAGCTTCCCGCTTGTTCCCGTTAACTTTGAAAATAGAAGAAAATAAAGTACACTTGATATTTACATAAAAGTAAGTTGTGGACAAAGATTGAGTCACTATGATTCCATAAACATTTCACTGCTCGAACAACTCAATATCAACATACTCCGATGCCAATACAAATGCACAACGTAAAGAGAGTCATGAAACGGATGCACGTTCACAATAACACCGAGATATATCGCTCGTAAAATCTGAAGATACATCTGAATATCATGCCGAATTCCCGGTGTATCGGGTATTATGGTTCGTCGACCCACGCCGTATTGTAAAACGAAATTTTATCTTTGCATGACGATAGTTTTCTTTTACAGCGACTCCCAACTTTTTTGTAAAAATAATAGGTAAAAAAAAATGATTAAAATAAATAACAATAATTCCACTAATTTGTAATGTTAAAAAATGGTCCAAATTTTTGATGTGTATGTTTTTTCATAAATACTCTAACTCTGATTGGAATATTGGTGCTTTATTTGTTAGAGAGATAGAGAGCTAGTTATTGCAGTACTTAATTCATTATTTTTGATGAGGCGAAGCCCCTTGTTTAAAAGCTATTTATTTGAATTGAAAAGAAAAGAAACTCTATATACTCTCTCTATACTCTATATACCTATACAACAAAATTCACTCGTTTCCTTCTTTTTACCCATTGCAAAAATCAAAATCTAGGGAATCACAATAAGAAAATACGGATGGACAGACGGCTAGACAGACAATGAAGTCTTAGCAATAGGCTCATTGAAAAAGGATCTTCGCTAAATAATACTATTACAATTTCTTTCATCAATAAGGTAACTAATATTGAGCATGTATATACATCCTCTTCTTCAATAAAGCTTAAACCCCCCCATTTTTCGTATTGTTATTAAAAAAGGTACATTTAACATGTTTTGCAGTGAGAAATTGTACAAGAATAACGGTATAGGGTATTAAAAGATAATTTTATGCTGGCTACAAGAAAAACTACACTCTCGAAATGAATAAACCTTCATTTTGAAATCAAGCTTATACGAGGTTCTCTCTTCTGCATTATCAAGCTTATACTATGAATTGTGATATTTTTATAACACCCTGTTTTATAAGTAAGTGGTACTTTTTTTCTTTAATACGGATGATGACTGGGTAAAAAAATGCAATTCTATTTAGTCCGTCAGTCAGATAATAGAAAAATATTAGATACGTATTTTTTTTACTTCAATTTAACAAGAAATAGCTTAGATTAAAGTTGAGGAGTGGGGGCTCGCTACGTCCCAGTTGAGTAGAAAACGTACCCTAACGTGACGTTATGCGAAATTTCAACTCAATGTAACGCCGTAATTTTATGATTACGAAAAAAAAAAAAAAATACGTGTTTAATATTTTTTAACACTCTACCTGACGGACAAACAAACAAAAATTAGTCATCATCCCTATTATCCTTATTAATAATATTACGGCGAAAGTCACTCGATCTGAAACCATTTAGAGAAAATTTGGTGTGAAAAAGTATGAGACACTAAACAAGAATTAAAATAGACTTCATACGAAACTATCAAAGGAATGAAAAGACGGTTAGAAGTTTGTATGGGAATATTTATTTACTTACATTCTTATACATAAATAATTAACTTTTATATGATTTTAAAAAAGAATGTAAAGTTGAAGAAGAAAATACTTAAAACGAATCGAATAATAAATTCGTATTCTTATAAATTCAATATAGTCAATTTTATTAGGGTAAAGATTTGATGGCTTTAAACGTCTGGCTTCAAACAAAGATTGATTTGTCAAAATAAAAATAATTTTAATATATTTTTTTTATGAAAATAAACATTTTTATTTTCGAGTTCCTATAACTTAGACGATGTAGATCTGCTAGTTTTTTTTATATTAAAACAAAACTACTGATCTAGATTCGTCAAAGTTTTAATGGGATTATTTCGAGAATATACTCTTTCAATAAGAAAGTGCTATATTACAAGTTACAAGAAAACAGTCAAATTGAACTCTATTCTTATTTTTGAAGTTATTTAAAAAAAGCACTGTAAATACATATTAATACCACGTAAACAAAGTTGCAGGAAAAAACTGGTATAGTAATGTATTAATAATTCATGCAAATTATGGTTCACCTTCGTACGTATAAAATCAGTTGAATCAAGTCTGATTAACTCACATAATCATCTCATTAGTTCTTTGTTAGCCGTCTGTATCTATATAGCGCCATTTTTATACAAAATGACAGTAACTATTTAAGTCTATAGACTTAAGAAATGAATTATGTAATTATTATATTTGATAATTTTTGCATGCACAATACTATAATGAAAATGTTATTGATGAAAAATGCATAAAAATATACTTGTCTCAGGTACTATGAGATGCGAGTCGAACTACTCTAACCTACTCTAACCGTTTACCCGAGACCCAACAGGACTGACGAATTTTCCAAGCATCATGTTCGGGCAATCCACCCAAACAACTGAAAGAAATATTATAAACTTTCGACTAAGATAAAAATTTGTTCTAATTTTTATTATTTGAACAGTTTTGCACTCACAATGCTATACTGGAAATTACACTAATAAAAAATGAAAAGTAACAAGTGCTTGAAAGTTCGTCAGTCTTGTTATGCCATGGGTAGATCAGTGGTCAGAGTAGTCTGAAAGTCGTGGGTGGTACTATTAGTTACACTGTAAAAGTGCTGTATAATTGCCAAAGTTAAAAATGATCAGTTTTATCAGTACTGAGTTTTTTTTATACTCACGTTTGGCTGTGACAATATCTTTATAATGCAGTTTCTTTTTTAAACTACAGATTTGTGGACGTTATGTCTTTGTACTAAAACTGATTTCAATTTAGTGGCCTCTTAATATCTGCGGTGATAGGCTAACAAAGTCACACAACTTTGTTAACCCATCACTTTGTGACACAAACTTGTGTTTGGAACTATAGTTGTTGATAGAAGTAATTGTAAATATCGTGAATAATTCATGCAAACTATTGAGTATCTAGTTTAATTTTATTACAAACTATATGCAAATATATAACATTTGCTGCTAATAATTTTGTTTAAAATATCGTTTAGTTATAATTTAACTTTTATAATGCAGTAACAGTTTTTCTAAACAGATTTTTTAATTTGTTGCAGGTGGATCGTGTTTTAGTGTAGTGATAAAAGTGAATAAAGTTTATTGTAGTGATAATAAATTAATGTTGTCAATTGTTAAATAAGTTAACGGCCAACTTCTTTCGAATTTTCAAAAGTACTTTTGATTATGCGGTGTGAATAAACGGCATTAACACGTGCGCGCCGAGCGGAAGCACAACGAGAACTGCAACAAAACAACGATGGCTAGGCCTGAGGTTGTGCGATGAGGCCGCTGACGAGGAGGGGATGGACGAACCTAGCGCCGCCAAGCGACCCTCCGTTTTAACTATAGACAGGGCGGCGTTCCTCCTTCTGAGAGTTAAAAGGGCATTTAAAAAGAAGAGGCAGCAACGAAAAGAAAAACAGTAAGTATATTAAAACCATTTTCTAAAACCAAAACATATTCATTCTCATCATTAATATCTTTTATTAGGATGAAAGAAACTCTTTCATCCTATTAATATTAAAAATGCGAAAGGTTGTAAGGATATGTGTATGTATGCTTGTTATTCTTTCATGCAAAAAACTACTGAACGGATTTTGATGAACTTTATGTCCCAAGAAACGGTTCCCAAAGATTAAAATATACTGTCAAATCATAGTGTAAGCCACACGCATGAAGCAGCTGTGGGCACACCAGCTGGATTACATTTTTAAAATAAAAGAAAATACGCAGGACCATATTTTTTGATTCATTAAGAGTTATTACCTGTACTGATGTATAAAATTACGACGCTCGGAGGAGGATGTAAATGAGGTGATTCCACTTCCCTGTCACGTAAAGAGTTGCCCGTGTATTGGTGTACCAATCAAGGAACGCAACGATTTTAATTTGTACAGCATACAAAGCTGGGTTGCTCTGAAGCGACATTTCAACGTTACCAGTTAAATATTCAACGTTCTGGTGGCAGATTGGAACAATGGCCTAATATAACACGCTTGCCTGTCAACTGCTTCATTATGCCGCAATCATCTGTCTGGAAAACATGTGGGTGGTAGCGTAGGCGATTAATTTGTGAAATTCGTATCTTTTAGAAATCATTTACCAGACCAATTGATGTCTGTCAACGGGTATGTATGATTTTGAAATTATAATTTGATGGGTCGTTGCCTGCGGTGTTAAATTGTCTCAATATTAAATATTAACATCTTTTTTATGTTTCTTTTTTTAAAATAGACCCGGTTAGCAATTTACTTGGGTTCTAAATTATTTGTATAACATATAACTAGGAAGAAAGTATTTTTATATTGGATAGTTAAGCGAAACATCAAATTTTATAGATATTTGCGTTTATATTAAAAGACTATGTTGTTTCTACCAGTAGAAACTTGTTGGGTCTCTTCTGCATTATCAAGTTTTTTTATTTCGTTCTTTTCTTGTGCTGTCAGATCTTTTTTTACAGATGACACTGAAGTTGGTAATGTAGGCTTAATGTTTATATTATTAAAGTCGTTTCTCAATTCTTTGTCTCCGACTATTTGAATATATTCTTTATTGGGATAATTATTTTTGTCAGTCATAAAAACGGATTCTGACTTTTTAGGGAAAAAGAATATCTCGACAGCTTTTGCTTTCGTCATTGACGTTGGCTTCGGTTTTCCGGACAGGAAACTCTCAAATATAAAAGGAAGTCCTGGTAAATTATTGGAATGTGAGCTAGATTTTTTATGATAAGGACTAAATTCGAAGGTTACAAAGTCGTCGTGCTCGTGAGAATCGCAGCACAATGTGGACGTTGTTGGCTCCTTGTAGGAGAAGAGATCGTTGCTCATCAAGATTTTGTTGAGGAAATCCGATGGGCTTTGACTGACAGGTTCTTTGTAGTTTCTTAGGCTGGAACAAGGGCATGGTTCCACGACAGGTTCGGATTTAGAGTAAAGCAATGATCTGGATGGTCCCAAGTTATTGTCCGATTTGGATTGTGCATCTGTAATAAGAGTAAATGAGATAACAAATAAATTATCAGATAGGGTAGTGTCAGCGATTGCATTGATTCTAATTAAGTGGCTAAGGATTCAGCTTAATTTGACAGGACGTATTCTGGCCATAGCGCTATGGCAAAAATGATAAGACTATGGAAAAATGTGTGTCTTCAAACCGAAAGCGCTTATGTTAAATTAGGAAGATTGTTGCGATTCATATCCAAACTTTCAAGGAACGAAAAATTGGAACCTCTAAAGTGACTTTGTCTTGAATCTGTCTTTTTTTCATTTATTTTGGTATCGAATAGTCGTTTACTTAACAAATTGTTTATGATTAAATGTGTTTTAAATTACAGACCAATAGTACCTAAAAGTTATTTTTTTTTAATTAAATAATCATGAGGATCTACATTTTAAGACACGCATATATATAAAACAAAAACATTCGGCAAAATAATGATTTTGCCGAATCTTAAGCAAATTATCTAATTACAAAGTATGTCTTTTAACTTTGTTTCCAAATAATTAATTGATAAATTAAAGAGATCAAGCTCGGAGAATTCTTTATTTTAAATGTTGGTGGAACGGTAAAAGTAAGGGTTTCGTGTATAATTTTTATGCAATTTCGGAGGAATAAAAAATGATGATTTACTATCTTAAATCCTTTCAGATCAGATTTCATCGGAATTTTATGAATTTAAAAAGTCAAAGCGAATATATATATGTAAAAGTAAGAATATGCATAAGCTTTTACAAAAATTCAGTTTCCACATGTTTATGCTCGTAAAACTCAGTTTTCAGTTCTCATAACTTTTTTAATATATATATATATATATATATATATATATATACTATATATATATATAATTTTTATAATCAAATTCAGAAGACAACAGTTAATATAGTAAGAAGGATAATGGATCACGGCTGATGTCTTAATGTTTATTTGTAAATCGAATATTACGCGACACTCACCTTTAGCATTAATGTAAATTGAAATATCCATTTTTCCAAGATTTACCAAGGAGTCGGTGATGGTTGGAATGGTTTTGAAATTTCTCCCTACGTCTCGAGATTCCACAATTGTAGAAGTGGCTAGACATACCATGAACATTGTCAAGGCTGGGAACGCCATATTTCTAAACCAAGAGATTTTTTTTTCTTAAACTAAAAACTATACAAATTAAGACCATGTTAGTTTGAATTAAATCCACAGTACTTAAACTGATAATCAATTTTATGTACGGTCAGTAGTAACGTTTGAATGTCCGATAATCTATTTTCGGAAAGTTTCTTAAGGCACTGTTCTCGGCTACACCTGCAATAGTACACTTGCAATTCTGCATAACCCATCACTCGTGATGGGTTATGTCTCAGGGTATCGAAATAATAAGACGAAGTCTGTTCCATATGCGATCATTTTATTAACAAGTAGATTCTTTTCTTGTCATAGGTAGTTAATAAAAAAAATAACAAATGTGTATATTCAAAATCTTTAAACGAATTTTACTCTTATTGTTATAGTATTTATGGTAACTGGTTGCTTGGAACAGTGTGTGTACATAATACGCGTTGCCAATGATAAACAAAAAGCAAAAGGGAATACAACTTTTCCAAGTTTTAAATGTGATTCGTTCCGTTTCGAGAATGTTCAGAAACTTCTCAATATTATAATAAACAAATGCCTTTGAAAAGACGAAAAAAAGTTGAGGAATATGACTGAAATTGACTTACGAATTTTGACTCGCGACCGCTCCGAGAATAACTAAACAATAGGTTTAGTGTAAGTAAAATTGATGCCTATTTCGAAATGGCGATTGGGCTTTGATGGCTTTCAGTTTTATGTTTGCAAGTTGCGTAAATCAAATTATCGACAGACTCTGTTGGATGTTGAATTTTGTGTGATTCTGGTTTTATAGATATAGATTGTACTTTTTGATGGAATTGCCATTTATTGAGTAGGTACAATTTAATGTCAGAATTGGATGTTTAACTTATACCTTTATTGGCTTGTGGGGTGTTATAAAAGCATCAATGACTTATCCAAATAGGTTCTGAATGTCTGATCCGATATTTTATACAGTCGAATTTGCACACGCGACTGGAATTCTCTTGCGTGCTATGTCATACTTCCGTAAGACCCTTGACGAATATTCTGTCGATGTGCAAGATTGAATATTATTTTAATTTTTTTAATTCCGTGACCGACAGTTAAGCAACGCAGCTGTCGTCAGATATGCATCAATCATTAAGTTTATCTTCTTTGATGTGAACTCAGAGTTCATTTCGATGTTAGTAAAACTTTTTAATGTATCCTCGTGAGACGATAATAGTAGGAGCTCTCAAATGAAATGAAATTGATTTCAGGTGCACAATCTTACTCAGTGGGTTAAACGATAATTAAACGTTAAGGGCATTAAATTCAAGACCAATAATAGTTGTGTGAAGTTAAACTAGTGATTAGATAGATGATGACATAAGATCACTAGAATCAAACGTTAGGCGATTCTAATATCTAATTTAATCGAAATATTTAATTAAGTTATTGAACGAAATCTTTTGCCATGGTAAAAATACGACATTATTAAAATTAATTAAAGGAAGATGCATAAAAAATAAAATAGTTGATGTTACAATTTATTAAGAGCATAAAAAAGTAAAGCAAATTAAATTACACGTTATTTCTAAGACTGGATTAAAATAAAATGTTAATGCTCTTTCATATCATGAGCGTTTATGTGAATGTATGTAAAGCGTATTATTCTAAATTATATCTATGCAAACATATAATTAGTTGATTTTATTGTCTTCAAAAAGTCGGTTATACGAGAATCCAGCCTCGTCTTTGACAAATCAACATTTGCCAGAGTTTTGTCGACTTTTGAAGTTCGTGCTGTGGCACTCGGTAATAATACCGTTTGCAACGTGTTATTTCAACGTGCACTTTATAGTAATAAAATGCGTTCAAATTGTATTTATTTATAAACTCTGATTCCTGCATGGGATCGTAAAATTTGTTATTATCGCTTCGATTTGTGGACGGCGAACGTTCGAATGGCACTTAAAGGTTTATTCCTCGTCTCATTGTTGGTAATGTATTTGTGTGCTTAATTGTGACATCACTTTTATAATTTTTAATTATTTTATGTACTTTTCCCTCGTTATCTAGTTTTCCCATAACATTTTTTTTTACTTGTAAATCTACACATGATTTTTTTTTAAATTATTGCCATAATTATGCTGGATTAGATCCTGATGCGTGTATTAGACGCGTTTTCTTACACCTACCCGCATCACTCGTTGGTAAAGGGCTTCGAACAGGCAATATTTTATGGCAACAGCTACACTATCGGCAACTAAAGGTGAATGGCTATATACTAACACGCATGCATCGGTTGCACGACACGCATCACGGATTATATTAAAAAGTCAAAACTGGCAGCCAATGTTTAGCTGAATGGCCAGGATATAACTGCAATATTGCACAACCGGCTGGCATTTCTTATAGTATTGTTGGTCAGTGTGTTGCAGCCACTAATAGCCGAAAAATATTGCCCGTTTAAAAGCCCGATATGAAATAGTGTTACAAATAAATTAAACATTTGCTGCCAAGCGATGAACCTGATGTCGCGTCTGAATTCGCGGTGATATAACCCCTTTTGAACATGGTCTTATAGAGAACTTATTGGATGATACAATGAAATCTTTTTCATTAGATTTGCTGTTGTAAGCAACAGCAACATAAATACTTTTTTGTCTATGATTTTACATTTATTTTTATAATCTTTCAATGTATAATCTTACAAAGCCAACCAGCCATCAGTCTACTAGGTGATACATCAGCACTCATGAATGGTTCACCAATAGCTGAACCATTATTAAAAATTGCACGTTTTGTAATATTAAATTAATATCTATTAGTTCAAAAGGTAACATTGCCAGATTTATTCTGTAACATCTCTTGAGTTACATTTAGTATTATAAATAAAATCTGGTTATAATGTTGTAATAATAATAAAAACGTGCAATTTTACAGTAAATAAAGATTACTTTGCTATGTAGTTTGGAGCGATGTAAATAGTCAGAAGCTTAGAGGTTTGTTCAATGAAAGCATAACGCTGATTTCGACCTTTGCCAGAGGTACGAATATCTATGCGTGCACTGAAACCAAACGAGATTTAATCAAATTTGCTACTTAGCATAATACGGTGGTGGCATTGATATTCTGAACAATAAGAAAGACGAGAGTATTAAGCAGTACAAATTTTTATTGTAAGGTCACAGTTGCTATAATTTAGTATTTTACCCAGAAGAATTTATCATCGAAGGGGTAATTTACAATTGAGATAATATTATTGATTTTTTTGTGTGGGTGTTTTATAAAGTCTGTGGATTGTTTAGGTTTACAACTGAACTCGGTAGATGGCATTTATAGTAAGACAACATCTATTGGGCCTACTTATTGACTGATTAAATTCAATGAGAGTAAATACATAATAAATTAAGATACAGAAGTGTTTGTAATTAAAATTCTATTGAAAATTTCTTCTTGGCAGATGCCTGTAGCTCTCGGTCTTGATTTAGGAGACACTCCTGTAAATTCAAGTGTGATTTCTAAGGCAGACATCAAAAGACGTAGCGAGGTAGTAGACGGCGCATTTTTGGAACAAAAAGATGTTTTGCTCGACATGGCAAGTACAATGAAAGCAATATTAATTATAAATTAATTACATCAAGGATGACGTTAGACTTGAGGGATACTTTAATAGAATAGAATATATTTTTATTGATAGAATACATGGTATTACATCCATAGTTAATAAATATAAGAGAAGAATAAAAGAATAAGTATACGAACAAAATGTGCTATAGTCTGTGTTGCCAAGCTGGCTTCAAGTCACTATATGCAGTAAGCAGAACATACTGTACTGGTATTCATTATATTATAGTCGTATTACTGGTATAGTTGAAATAATAAATTAACCTCCTTAGCAGAGTTAGCGGTTAAAAGTTGTCGCCTTCTCTGGGGCAACAGAGAGTTTGAAGCCAGGTCTGGTCAAAGACATGGATGTTGTGGTACCTTTGTTTTTATGAATTTTTACGATAAAAGTTTTGAAAGCTACTACTAAAATATATTTATAATAAAAATTACAGACAAACATTAAGCTTCAATCAATATTTCTTCTGAAGGTCTAAAATATTTTATTTTTTCTAAAAGGATTACGTCTTAAGTGTAAATGAATTTAACGACAAATACGAAAACTGACATTTCTACGAACTCCTTGGTAAATATTAGGTTGGGGTTTTGGTACCATTAAAAAGTTTAAATTTTAACGAAGATAAAATTCTCACTGTCAAAATAAGTGAAACAAATGAAGTAATTCGATACATTTTAAAATTTTATTATAAAAAAGTTAAAAATTCAACGCAAACAGCGAAAAAAATTGTGGCAATTATGGACCTAGTGCAGTTTCTGTGAGAGTAGCACAAATTTGGTTTAAGCATTTTCAGTCGCCCAGTTATGGTTAAAATGGTTGCCATTTTTGAAAAAGTGGAGCAAGATCGGCATATCAGTAGTTATGACGTAGCTTAAGAACTGGGGATTGACCAGAAAATAGTTTTGGCGCATTTGAAAAAAGCTGTCACACAAAAAGTCAGATATTTTGGGTACCTTACGAGCTCACTAAAGGAAACCTAATTAACCGTGTATTTTGAGAGAAGGAAGCCTAATGAATGGTGTATTCGTAGAATCATTTGTGACTCTTTATTATTGCACAATGAAACTGAACCATTTTTGAAAAGCTGACTAGTGATGTAAAGTGGATCACGTACGACAAGTCGTGGTAAAGATCGGTCAGGTTGGAAACCTGATTAATTCGCGACGAGGTGATGTTGTGTCTTTGGTGGATTGGAAGGTAATTATTCATTATGAGGTGTTTACAGCGAACAACTGATGAGATTCAAAAAAGGAGTTGAGAGAAAGCGGCCAGAATTAATCAATGGAAGGGGTGTGGTTTTTCAACGCTAGACCTCACACATCTTTTGCCAATCAGGAAAAAAATTAGAGAGTTTGTCTAGGAAGTGTTAATGCATCCGCCGTATAGTCCTTACCTTTCACATTCAGATTTCCACCTGTTTCGGTCTCTTCAGAATTCTTTAGGTAGTGTCAGGATAACATCACGCGAGGACTGCCAAAACCACTTGTTGCGATTATTTGATCAGATACCCCAAAATTTCTACAGCAATGGGATCATGCCAAAGTTATCAAACAAAATGGTACCATCATACTTTAGTTAAATGTAAATAAACTTTATTAAAATATGTTGTTAATTTTCACATAAAATGCGGAAAAACTTTTTTCCCCAATCCATTAAATCAGAAAGTACAGAATTTCATTGTCCTATCAAAATCTACGTGTATTTCTCGGTAAATAATAAATGCGATTAAATATTTACCTCATTTAGATTTTTTCGGAAAGACGTGTTCAATTTTATGGAATTAGGTAAACACCCATTCGGATCTTCGGCTGGTAACACTTGTTCATAATAGTATCACTTTATTCACAGCTAGAAACAAAATTAAAAGAAGTGAGGAACAAAAAGAAGAAAAAATCCGATCATGCCGATACCAATAACATGGAATTTAATAAATGTGATTCGGAACCAGGCAACGTTAATCTTAATTTAAAAGCGAAAGGGCTTAGCGCTATTGGTGACGCCGAAGTTTCATTGAAATTCGGAAATTCTGGTAATATCAGTTTTTGTAAACCTGTTTGTACCCACAGTTAGTAAATATACCTACTATAAATATACTCACTTGGGTAGCTCGGTGACGTAGTGGTTGAGTAACGTCCACGATCATTGTCGTTAAGCAACTTTCGCAAGGGTCGGTTACGGGATGGGTGACTAAAAATTAGTATCTCGAACTACTTTGTGCTTCGGAAGGCACGTTAAGCCGTTGATCTCGACTGCATTTGTAATCGTTAATACCTTGGGCCAGAGTGGACGGTCATAGCCCAACCTCGTTAACCATCCATAAGGAAGGCTTGAGCCCCTGTAGCGATGACGTAAAAGGACTGATGATGATAAGTATACTAACGCAGTTGTTTTAGAAAATGGACAATCTATTTAATTGAATTTAAACTGTGATCCGTGGGTTATTATAAAAAACTATTTTAATTCAATTGAACAGTACTATGTTATTCTTATCTTTATTTATATTTGAAGAGCTAGACTTCAGATGTACAAGTTAAGCAACTTAGCAAAGGCTGGTCATAGGATGAGTGACCAAAAATATTATCTCGAAATTCTCTGGACTTTATGTCATGTTAAGTCATTGGTCTCAGTTGCGATTCACACGAGGTCAGCGAGGTGGATTACAGGTAGTTTATTTGATACCATCCATTAAAAGGAAAGTTCGATCCGCCAACACCAAGAGGCTAATGGTATATTATTATTTTTTTACCTGTGTTATAAATAGGTATCAATGAACAAGTAGAATATGTGAAGTTATGACATTCTTAATCCAGGATAAACTGTGCTATTCGTAGTTGTCAACCAGCGTTCCCACAGTGATGATTTTGATAGGAATCCATCAAAGAGGTTTAAGTTCATATTAAAATTTTTGTTTAAAGACGAACTTGTCCAAGGACGCTAATGGTACTTCCTTTGGGTTTACAACTGCCGGCAAAAGACGGTGGTTGTCTCTGGTGGTATGCTGGTTTACAACCATTGTGTCTAATCACTATTATAGCAAAACTGTTGGGGTTAGTTGCACCAATTAATTTTAACAATAACAAATATATTCTTAATAAAAAATACACTTTGTCTCTGGTACTGTGAGATGGGATGGGGATCCCATCCCATTATAGACATTGACCAAATATAATAACAAGTTAAAGTACCGGTTTAGCAAATAGTAATGAGTTGTTATTTGACAATGGTTGGATGACATTATAACTTTAACTTTAAATTTTAATCTCCTGAGTTTCGTTGGTAAAGGTTATTGTTTAACTAAATCAAGAAAGAGGATGGTGCACGCATACAACAGTTAATGTTAAAGTCAGCGTGACAGATATTATTAAATTTGACATACACCTTTAACTGCAATTATGGCGCATTTGCTCGTGTGTTGTCCTTTTTTTAGTAGAGAAAGAATAATCTCAAGGAAGAATTGGTTAATTATAACTATCGTTTCGTGTCTCATTCACTACGGGATTTTGGCAGAATTTCTGTGTATAACGGAACAAGGCCATAATAAAAAAAATATATGGTGCAACAGAGACTAAAGATACAATACGTACAGGTTATTTAATTATGTTTCCTTCTAACTATATTAAAAAAGGGAATAAAGACTGGAATAGCGCTAATTACTTTATTGAAGTACGATGCAATGAATACTAATGATGGCATTATTTTTCTAGGTAAAGCTACATTGAATTTGGATGCGAATGGAATTTCTAATGTGGGTAAAGCTCGTTTAGATCTCGGTGTGGATGACGGAGATCTTTATATCCCGGGACTTAGTAATTTGTTCGTTGGTAAGGATTAACGTACAGTCGACCGATTTAATTCCTAACTTTATATAGTACCTCAAAAAAGTAAATTTATTTTCTACAAGGTACTTTTCATGTCTCTTCTTTTTGTAAAATGATTTAAAATATTTTAACCTTCACGATCATAGCATACTAAACAAGACGTAATTCCTAGCTTCATATCTTTACATTTTACTGTTAAGTTTGAATTTATAATCTATTGTTATTATGTTATATCTATACTTATAATATTATAAAGAGGAAAGATTTGTTTGTTTGTTTGCAACAAATAGGCTCCGAAACCACTGGACTTATTTTTAAAACTCTTTCACGTACAGAAAGGCTATAGGTGAACATAGGCTATATTTTATTCTGAAAAAGAGTAAATAAAGGGCTAAAATGGAAGTGGAAGTTTGTGTAGGGAATTAAATGTTACCATAGTTACCATTTTTGACTATACAATTTTTCATTATAAAGCAATGAAGACATTCCATATAACTATTTCACATCCAGATTAGCATATGAAATATTATATTACATTATATCAAAATAAAATATTCATCAAAAATGTCTGTGTATATCCTAGTTGATTAACTGAATAATAAATAAGTACGTATTTCAAACAAGTGTTGCTTTTAATCTTAATACTGAAAACGCGTACTAAATAGATATGAAATCAAATTTAGGATTTATATTACAGGAAAGTCTCTCAGCAACTGTACGAATCGTAGTCAGAAGAAGGACACAGAATCAGAAAAAATAGGCAGTGAAGTTATAAACAATCGCAAAAGTGGATCTGACACTGGAAACGGAACAGACTCAAATGTTAATAATACGGATAGTTCTAATTTAAAAGCCGATGATAACGAAAAAACATCTGGTAATGCTACTTCGTTTGATGCTAATAGCACCGTTAGTAGTAATGGGCTTGATAAAGCAAATGTCACATTAGTGGCGCCACTGACGGCAGTATCAAATAGTAATGATGTGTCAAACCCAACTACAGTTCAGGCGTGATGGTAGCACCTATTAAAGTTATTCATGCTCAGATAAATCTTATGATATCACAGCCACAAGCAGATTGAGCTTTAGAAAATTGGAACTCGTTCTTTTGATCTATTAGTTATTTGATACCTAAAATTTAAAGAAATTAAGTTGTTTCTTTCGTATATTTTTCAGATAATATAGTATAAAACGAATATAATTGCTTTTTATAATTTGACTTATTTATTGTTCTTTTTTTTTAAATAAACTATATGGTTTGAAATAAATAATTTGGCGGCTAGAAATTGATTATTTACTTAGTTTTCTATTCGAATATTGTAAAGAGGAAAGATTTGGTTATTTGTTTGCATTGAAATGGCTCTGAAACTACTGGATTAATTTTAAAAATACGTTTATCTACGGAATGTCTATAATTTACGCTGGCGAAGGCGCGGGAACAGCTAGCTGGAAAATAAATTTCAAATATAGTTTGTCTTATTACCATAGTTAATAGTAACTGATTTTGTGTTCAAAGCATTCTTATTTGTTCCTAGATTAAGACTATTCCAAATTTCGAGATGCTTCTTGTTGTATTTTATTGAAATAAAAAAATATGTTGAAATATTTATTTTAATCTTTTCTTTTATGTTTCTTATTCACTATATAAATAATATACAGGCTACAGTGTTATTTTAGTTTCAAATAACAAATGCGAGTTGGACTCGCGCACAAAGTGTCCCCGAAAACGAGCAAAAAAAAACATGTTTGTTGTATAGGAACCCCCTTAAAAAAATGTTTTATCCTGTTTTTTAGTATTTGTTGTTGAAGCAGCAACAGAAATACAACAGACAAACGGATAGCGATATCTTAGTAATAGAGACCCGTTTTATTCTTTGTGTACGGAAAGATTGAAGTGAATCAAATTTTGAAGAGAATAGGAGTTCCATGGTACAGTGTTTAATGTAACTTTCAACAAATGTCATTATCGCAAAGGTAAAAGCAATTTTCAATAAAACAAGTGCAATGAAGTACCGGCAATATTAAGTATTAATTTATTCTTAATACAAAATGTTTTAAACATCCACTTGGTCCCTGGCATCCTGAGATGGGAATCGAACCCACGACCTTTCGCAATCCGGGCCACTGCTTGCGAAAGTTTAAAAGTTTACATTAAGTATTAATATCAAACCGCAAACGACTCTAGCGGGTTTGGTGTGTTACTTTCTAGCGGTTTTTTGGTTAGAGAGCCCCTTTGTCGCTCGGCAGGTGGCAGAGATGCTTCAAGCAACTAAAGAGTTAAAAAAGGGTGTGAATATTTGTATTGTTGACCGAAAGTGAATATTGATAAAATATAAAATACCATTAAGGAAATAAATTGACCTGTATACAAATAGCTTTTCAGACACCAAAGCTGTTAAAGGAAAAGTGTCTCACTACTGATTTATTGAATTCAGACATCAAATTCTCAAATACTTATAAGTAAGTTTCTAGATATTTCCCTTCAAATAAAGTCTAGACACCATCTTATTTATCAATTGGCGTAATAGGATCAAATATTTAATGGAAAAGATTTCTTTTTAAAACAAATTATTAAAACCAGCTGTTAGGGTTTCAATTCTAATTGAGGCACACTAGAGGTGTTGGCTAGTGATAACATTGGAAAAACTGCACATTTCTCTAAGCTAATCATTCGAATACGATGCTTTTGAAATATGATAATAGACGAAGACTAGGATACTACAGAAGAGGGACCGTAATAGGATCTAAAAGTGGGGTTCGCTCTGTAGCTCTCCTTGCAGATTACCTAGTCGCTAATTTCTCTCAGCTCAGCTCACAAATATTAATTCATGAATGTAAGAGAGCTTAGAATTATTTTTTCTACTTCATATGAAATCTAGTCGCTAATTTCTCTCAGCTCAGCACATGTTATATACCTATATTAGTTTTTCAATATTGTCAAATATATGCTTGTGAAATAATTCTTATTTTATCTACTTCACATTATTTGTTAGCGACAACTTATTCAACTAATTCAGATACCTCAGTTATAAGCTAGTTTAATCATTTTTAAATCCGAGAGCTATATTATAGGAAACGACAAATAAAACTTAGTAAGGAACTATTCATACCGTATTTTTAAAGTAAGTAGTTTTAATGATAATAAATATCAAAATAATTATCAATGGTTGAGTGAAACTTATACACCAAATGAGGATAAATTGTGAAATGAGAGTGACTGGCTAGGCGAGAGTGACTGGCTAGGCGAGAGTGACCAGAGAAAAGAGTAAACGGAGACGTAAAATGGTGTCTGAATAATTAATAATGTAATTTTGTTCAATTTCTGTGCAGTGCGGCGGCGGCTGCGGCGGCGGCGGCGGAAGCGTTGGGCGGTGGGGGGCGACGCGTCCCGCCCCCTCTGTTGCGCTCACGCACTCTACCCGCCATCGTTGCACCAGGATTTTCTATTTTGCATGCGCAGATTGACCCACAACGAACCAATGGTGAGTGAAACTATTTAATTCATAAATTTACTTTTACCAAATGTAAACAAATCAACTGGTGTGGTGGCCTAATTGTCCAGTTTAAAATTTATCACAATAACTTTATATTTGACATGGTAAGATATTCAGGAACTTCACGTTCCAACTATTTGACATGTGATTGCAATTCCGAAGGTGACGTTTTTTGAAGGATATTGAATGATCGATAAACGTTATCGAAATTGTCAAAACAAAGTGATAGTTACAAATATATTTGAAAGCTATTAGGAGGTGTGTAACTAAATTAATTGTCTATGACATATTTTCATATTTTCACGCTTCGGCATGAATGGGCCGGCTCGACCGGAGTGATACCACGGCCTCACAGAAAACCGACGTGAAGCAACGCTTGCGTTGTGTTTCGTTTCGTGTTCTCCCTATTCCCTTCCCTCTACCCCTCAACCCTTCCCTCCAAGGCCGGCAGCGCGCTTGTAGCCCCTCTGGTGTTGCAGGTGTCCATGGGCGACGGTAATCACTTACCATCAGGTGATCCGTCTGTTCGTCTGCCCCCTATCCCATAAAAAATATATATATATATCATTCCAACCATCATTCGTTCCAAAACCGATAGTGACTTCAAAAGTTACACTGTTCCATAAATCACAATTACAATCGCTATACGTTTGAGAGTGATTGTGATAGATTTTAAAATTACACAGGTCACTGATCGCAGATGTATCAGCATAAATCGAACGTACCCCATTACTGCATTTCTCGCAGACGGCTGAAGGTGTGACGATGCTTGGGCAATTAATGAAAGGCTGACTGAGCTTGGGAATTGATTTATTTTATGGTAAATAAGTAAAGGGTAAAGACAAAAACTGTAACAAACAAAAAAATAATATAAAAAAAGTTCGTAAGTTACCTAAATATAAAATTATATTGCTAAATAGAACACATACATACCCCTTTTTGGGTTTGCCGTAATACATAAACTTGGATCGAACGTAAACAAAAAGTTTGCATGCTGAAACCTAGGAAAAATAAACGGTGGTACGGCACACCGTTACAAAGGTTACAGGGCGCATAACAACGAAGTGCCACACTGTTTTCTTACTTCTCAATTCTTCTAGTTATTTCCTCACTTTGCCTTTTCTACACGCCATTTTTTTCTGGGAGATGCTTCTCGTGCTGTTGCGTTGCGAAATGCAACTCGACGCTTCGCTTAGAGGAAAGTTTTTGTCTCACAGATGCCACTGACCAAGCAAAACGAAACTGAACATTTTCTGTTTAATAAAATCAGACCACAATCAACAAATAAGTAACGCTTTTGCATAACCATTAGTTTATCAAGAAAATCAGTAAAAATGGTCTTTAAAATCCAACTCTTTCCGGTTACTAAATAAGAAGTGTAGAAACCACAATATTATTACAAACTAATATCTCGTGTCGCTAGAGAATATTATGTGTTTCATTTTGATATCATAAAGCTTAGTTGATGGCTTGTTTTAAAATTTTATGGACTAATACAAAGTATTATTTCATTAAACCCTATCTTATATAATGGATATTGGATTAAACGTGAATATTATTAGTTATACAGCGTTGATAGAATCGATATAAATTACCCATATATTAGTCCGTTTTCTATAGTTGGATATCGGCCATATTAATATTCAATAGTGTGGCCTATCTTTCATTATAGCTACTAAAACATACCATCTAAGTAAACTACCACCAGTTCTAAATTTGAGAGTCTATCTGAAAAGAACTGGCGAAACAAATTCCGACAAGATAAGTGAATTGCTCCCTTTGATTTAATATTTACAGGGTGAACTAACTGTCTCTTTTGGTTTTGCAGTGTGTGATCTGAATTTAGATTTAATTTCACTAATTACTGGATACTAAGCCGGTGATATATTCCAACCTTCATCTCTATTAAATTCAGATGTTTTTTAATTTCAATAACCTCGCCTAGGAATAGTAGTTTGTAATATTAAATAGCGTTAAAGGAATAATAGTATAGCAATTACTCAGAATAATTGATCTAAACAACATCTTGCACCTTAAGTCTATCTAAAAACAGGGTGACAGTATTATTAATGACGATTACCCTATCTTCAGTACATACACGTTAAACCCACGAAGAATGAGAGCCGCACCCTCCAATGGCTTATATAGAGGGTAGTATCACTTTTAAGAGTTACCTTATCCACGAAGGTAATACCGCTTATAGGTCTACTATTGTATACTTACTTTCAGTTATTAGTAAATCATATTTCTTTTTAAATCATATTAAATATACAGATTTTTAACGGTTCCGTTATATTGCTTGTTTGGTTGAAAGGGATTGTATACTTGGTGTGAGCAAATTCAGGAGTGTCTCGTATTAATGGTCAAAACCTACCCAATGAAAATGAGCCACAGAAATTTCCAGCATGTTCCCATCGATCAATTTATCAACACTGTTCACGACTGACTGTGCTCTAATACGAGGGTCAAACTGAAAGTTCTTAGAAAATCAAAAACTGATTACATTAGCCAGTTATTAGT